GCAAGATACGAGTGTTGATGCATCAACTCCCTGCTCTGCAAACACAGCAACATGTGCCTGCTGTGTGATCTGCAGCAGAGCGACTGGTGGCTGCAATCCCTAATTGTCACAATCATATTGCTGGACACACACACATTGCAATCTTACTGTCACTATCATTTAGGTTAAAAATGTAGTATAAGGGCCTACCTAATTGAACACAAAATTAGTGGAGTCATTAGTTAGGCTCATATTGCATAGTTGGCAATAAACCTAAAGGCGATTGTACAGAAATTGTATAGTTAGACTAGAAATGTGTGTAGTCTGCCTAAGATTTGTGTGAATTTGTATGTCACTGCACAGTATATAACTGCTGAGCGATACACCTGCACCGTCTCGCGCTGGCAGGCATTTGCTGTATAATGGTATCACGACACCTGTTTGATTATGATATCTTGAAGATATTTGTTACATGACAAGTCTCATAATTCACATTTATAGGATAGAACTTGGAATTGGCTATGTGGGAAAACAACTGAGGCATTTATCATCACCATAAGAAAAAAATAATGTGAAAATAAAATTTGAACACCGGCACTTCCAGGAACACAAACTGAAGAAACCCCTAGTATAACGTGGCTTTAACAGGACAAGCAAAAATGTGTTTGGTACCAAATACACACAGCAAAATAAAATCTAAAATGTATCAGAAACAGACCTCCTTTCCAAGTATGTTGTACCTGCATAACACAAACTTGTTTATATAATAAACTTGGAATTGATGACTTAATACTCTGGAGAATTTCTTCAGGAGAAACATGTTGGCACACACAGAAGCAGGCCGCTCTTCCATGTCTTGAGTCAGAGCTCCAGCCAAACAATACAAGCAACGTGTGCTGCAGAATTCAGGAGCAATCAAGAGGCAGTGCTGGTCTGAGTCTCACAGATGTTTACAGCTATAAAAATGGCTAGCCCTTGTCTACTGCCAAGAGTTTATCCAAAAGACTTTCTGGACAGAGATCCAAATATTTAATCTCTCTGCAGCATATTTTCATCCATTCTGGCTGTCGGACACCCTGAGGTTTTCAGTCCATAAGTCCAAGAAACAAAATATTTTCAGGGACGTAGAAGGAAGATTAGTGTTATGAGCCATACATTGGCATCACTGCACTGTTGCTTCCCTATACACTATGCAGTCATTTTCTCTATAATGTGGAGATCATCAAACCGGCCAACCCTATCACATTTTAGTGAGAGAGAAAAATAAAGTGTTGTATATTTAAGTGACACAATCAGCTACAATAAAGGCAGACAATAAGGGTATACATGCCTGTATATACAATTAGGTAGCTAGCAACTACTTATTTCCTGGGAATCCTACTCAATGTTATTTAAATATAACTAAAGGCAAAACTTTTTTTTTTTTAGTTTTGGATAGAGTGTAGATGGATTACAACACTTGTGAGGTTCTATTGCCATGTGTCCCGGTTAAGAAGATTCACCCTCTATTTGTCCTGTTTAACATTATCATTGAAAGTGAAAGTAAAAGAACAACAAATTTTGGATTGCTGCCGCAAAAGTAATAGAGGGGAAATTTTCCAAGGGTGGCCTGGGTGTGCCAATGAATTCCCCATTATTTGCAGGGATTTTCTCTCACTTTGTGTTTTGGCTATTGGACAGTAAGGGAAGGTAAATGTCCCTAGTGAGACACAGATGGCAAAAAATAAACTGACAGAAGTTATAATCCTCCCTTACTCTATCCAAAATGGAAAAAAAAGTTTTGCTTATAGTTCTTTTTTAAATTGTAACTAAACCCAATAAAAATCAAAATAATTAGCATTATCTTTCTGTGCAAAAATAAATATTCAAGGTTTCCCATGAGTATTTCTGTATAAGGGTGGCCAGGCTAGCCCTGCATGGTCTCTAGTATAGACACCCCCCATAGCACATTCTCATAGCACCCCCTACAGTAGCACATGCCAGCCTAATACTATGACATCAGAAAGTTGCTTCTATTAAAAATGCCACCAATGCACCAGTGGTTCCAGCACTTTGTAAAGCCTTTGCTCACAGGGTCTATTCAGGCTAGCAATGCAGACGTGAACAGGCCCTAAATTGGTTGTAAACCCTTACATATATAGTACCTTGTGAAGGGACTGGCCTCATTGGATACAAAGTGATGAAAGAAATCCTCCTATATAAGTTGTACCTGCTTATCTGCATTCTTCTCTTCTCGACACCTGTTCAACGTGCAGAATTTATAAAGCTTGTCTGAGCTTTCGGAAAGCCGGGGACAGAGAGCTGAAATTACACACTGCAGAGATCAGTGAGGAGAGCTCTCAAAGCTGACTGGAGGGAAGGGACATGCCCTCTTCAGACAGCTCACAGGAACAGAGTTGAGACTGTCAATCACAGGCTATGTGCTGGAGGTCCATGCAGTTATAATTTTTATCTTGGTGTCAGGAAAACTTGTCAGCAGTAATTCATGCTGATAGCAAAGGAATGAAGCAGACGACAAATGACATTTAATGCTGTTCACTGAGACAAGTATGCGCAGTAGAGGGATATGCTTTGTTCACATCTCATGTCTTAGGCTTACAACCACTTTGGAATGGTTTTACAATCTGTTAAACAATTTAACAAAAAGTACATTTGTGAAGGTAATTTCTTACTGAACAGTAAAATCTCAAAGTACTTCTGTCTTGATATAAGAAGCAATAAGAAAAAGCAGCTTTAATTAAAATCTACCCAAAGGCTATAGATTTTAGAGTAATATAAAGACATTTTCACGGAAAGTTGAAACGTAGCTCTTATTTTAATACTAAAAGACATCTAGGAAGATCACTTTCTCCTGTACTCTGCAAGACAGTGCTAGAGAGAGTAGGAGGGACTAGGCAGGACTGTTACACCATTTATCAAAGCTCTAAAGCAGTGTTTCTCAACCGAGGTCCCCAGGGATTCTGCCACGATCTACCGGTCATTCATAAGCAGTTGACGGGGAGATCGCATCCCTTGCATGCAGAGCGGTGCCAGAAACAAAAGGGTTTATTTAGTGTTCCCTGCTGGACCCTCCTGTCCATCCCATGTGCTTATATTTGACATCACCTGGGATGGACAGAAAGAGAGGAGGAGCTGGCGGTGAATAATGCGCTGGAAGAGTAAAGATCCCAGAAGCTTTTCTGCCATGCTCTACACATGAAATGGAAACCAGAACTGTAATGCTCCGTGCCGCATAATGTGCCATGCTGGGTGCCTCAATGTGCGCCCCATAATGTGATGTGCTGCGCTGTGTGCGCCCCATGATGTGCTGCGCTGTGTGTGCCCCATGATGTGCTCTGCTTCCACCTAACTGTGCACTGATTCCACATGTGCTCTGCTTCTCCCTCATGCAATGTGCCCACTTGAGCCTCTGTACTCTGCCCTGCTGCACCCCCCCACCCCACTGTTTATCTTAAGTTGGATCCAGAATGGTGCATTTCCGCAGAAAAAAAAAAAAAAAAAAACACACGTTTCATAATAACCTCTTCCAGACCGGACACTTTTACCCCCTTCCTCACCAGGGCAATTTTCAGCTTTCAGCGCTATCACACTTTGAATGACAATTGCGCAATTGCGCGGTCATGCCACACTGTACCCAAATGAATTTTTTACCATTTTTTTGAGACAGATAAAGCTTTATTTTGGTGGTATTTATTCACTGCTGGATTTTTTATTTTTTTTTGCTATGTAAATGATAAAGTCCAAAAATTTTGAAAAAAAGTGTTTCTTTTTTAAATTTTGCAAATAAATAATATTTCATCATAAATCTTGGCCAAAATTTATTCCGTTATCTTTTTAGTAAAAAAAAAATCCAAATTAGTTTATAACCAAAAATTATAATTATAATTTTTATAAAAATTATATTTTTTTTTTACATTTTTATATTATTTTTTATTTTTATTTTTTTTCCTACATACTGTCACCCTAGCAGTACAGTGTCAGCATGGTGACACTGTACTACTTGTGGGGGGTGATAATTTTTTTTTTTACACTGATTGCTTTTACACCCATATAGGATGTAAAAGCAATCATTTCTCCTTCTCTCTGTCTGCATTCTTGCAGTCATTGAGAAATACAGAGTGAGCTGTGATTGGTCACAGCTTGTCACATGGTACAAGGCTGTTGTGAATAGCCTTGTACCATGTGACCTCTGTGATCATTCACAGAATTCACACGTAGTAAGCAATGATGTCACAAGTGACATCTTGCTTTCTAACTTTGCATGTGCTCACTGATTGGCCAATCAGTGATCACATGATCGGGACCTCGTACAGAGGTCCCGTCCGACGATCTGTGTTTCACTGTGTCCGGAGGACACAGCGGGCACCGGATCGCGGTGCTGCGCGCTCCCAGGGAGCGCGCACAAGCAGGGTGCGGGGAGGCCGTTTATAAACGGCCACCCGACCCTGCACTGCCACCGTCCGGCCGTTTATATACAACGGCTGGGATGGGAAGTGGTTAAATAGGTATGTTTTAATATTTATTATTTTATTTACTGCTATTTCTAAAAATAGTTGTTGTTACATCAACAGCTCTCTGATCATATTAATGTTCCATGAGCAGTACATGAAAACATTTCAGGGGTTCCCCGAGATCTCAAACATTTTGCCAGGGATTCCTCGAAGGTAAAAAAAAAAAAAAGGTTGAGAGAAACTGCTAAAAAGGGCTGTGGGCAGAGATAGATATGGCTATCCACTGATAGGAGCGTTAAAGGTGCCAGCATCTACGCAGGAGGAAAAGCCTTGTCAGCCCATCAAAATACATATACAATGATTCTACTGGCATGACCAACAGGTACTTACAACCTGTTCCGGGGGTGCTTATAAAAACAGAGCCCAGCCAACCTGATAGGGGCAGTAGATTAGGGCTATAAGAATTCTGCTGAAAGCTCTCTGGAAGAACAAACATATTACAGCTGTCAAAATGACTAACTCTACCTTCTCTGTTTTAGTTGTCTGGACAACAATCTCCTCTGGGTTAAGATGGACACCACCTTGTGGACTTTAAAGGTGTTACTGCTATTTCTGTTTACTGCAGGACACTGTGCAAAAGGCAAGTCACAAAGCCAGAGTGGAACTTCAATAAGACTCGCTCGTTCTACCGACAATGTGGAAAATAATGATGGAAAAAGGTGTGGCTACACATTCTTGGTACCCCAGCAGAAAATCACTGGGCCAATATGCGTCAGTACCAAAGGACCTGGGTCAAATAAAGACCAGGTGACTAGAATGGACTTGGAAAATGTTAAAGACTCTCTAGCTAAGCAAAGGAGAGAGATGGAGATGCTACAAGTTCTAGTGGATGTTGATGGAAATATCGTTAGTGAGGTGAAGTTACTGAGAAAAGAGAGCCGTAACATGAACTCCCGCGTGACACAGCTTTATATGCAGCTGTTACATGAGATTATACGTAAAAGAGATAATTCCCTAGAAATCGCTCAGCTAGAAAACAGGATTCTTAATGTAACGGCTGAGATGCTTAGAGCAGCCACACGGTACAAGGAACTGGAAACAAAATATGCCTCCCTTGTTGATTTGGTCAACAACCAGTCTGCCATAATAACACTTTTGGAAGAACAGTGCATGAGGGTCTTCTCCAGGAGGGATAGCCAGGGGTCACCACCTCTAGTACAGGTGGTACCACAGCACATCCCAAACAGTCAACAGTATACACCTGGACTAGCAGGTGGCAATGAGATCCAAAGAGACACAGGATACCCAAGGGCCAGGGACAGCCGGCAGCCACCGCAAGCCCCAGCGCCGACAGTCAGTCCATTTCGTGTGCCTCCGGTGACCGTGATCAATGAAGGTAATGTTTATGGTCATATACAGAGCACTTTGTTGATTTACTGACACTGTAATTCGTAAAAGAAAAAAAAAAAAAATTTTACAGTAACCTACATATGCACACAGAATTCCAATTTAGGCTTGTGGTGTTGGAAACATTCTGGTGGTTTTAATATGTGCCAGCTCAACATAATATTCCCAACCACAAGAGCTGCTCAATGGGATCTAAATACAAATATGGTCAGAATGCATTAACACTTACTGATTCGACAGTACATCAAAAACGAACAAGAAAGCTTGCTGGGGAGGATTTGTACCTAATCTAACTACCATGCCTTCATTTTCACCACACATTTGGCTATTTATAGAAAAAAAAAAAAAATACTCCATGAAAAAACCATAATATAACTCTACTTTGCAGACAAATGTTACATAGTCTGGCTGAAAAAAAGATAGAAGTCCTTTCACTTCAGCCATTAAAAAAAAAAAAAAAAAAAAAAAAAAAAAGTTATAATCCTATACCCACAGTTGATCCAGAGGAAGGCAAAAAAAAAAAAAACCCAGCAAAGCATGATCCAATTTGCTCCTGCAGGGGAAGAAATTCCTTCCTGATCCCCCGAGAGGCAATCGGATATTCCCTGGATCAACTTTACCTATAAATGTTAGTATCTAGTTATATTCTGTGTATCCAAGAAAGAATCCAGCCATTTTTTTTAAAGCAATCCACTGAACTGGCCAGAAACAACTCTTGAGGGAATCTATCCCACATTTTCACAGCTCTAACTGTGAAGAAACCTTTCTGTGTTTGGAGATTCAATTTCTTTTCCTCCAGACATAAAGAGTGCACCAAGTTCACTATATGGACCACTGATGTATTTATACATGTTGATCATATCGTCCCTTAATCTCCTCTTATAAAAGATTCAGTTCCTCTAATCTTTCCTCATAGCTGAGCTCCTCCATGCCTCTTATCAGTTTGGTTGCCCTTCTCTGTACTTTCTCCAGTTCCCCAATGTTCTTTTTGTGAATTGGTGCCCAAAACTTAACTGCATATACCAGATGAGGTGTTACTAATGATTTGTACCGGGGTAATATGATATCTCTCTCTCTGGCGTCTATACCTCTTTTATACAAGAGAGGATTTTGCTCGCTTTAGAAACCGCAGCTTGGCATTGCATGCCATTATTAAGCTTGTGATCTACCAGAACTCCCAGATCCTTCTCCACCATGACTCCCCCAGTTGTACCCCCCCCTAGTATGTATGATGCATGCATATTCTTAGCCCCCAAGTGCATAACCTTACATTTATCAACATTAAACCTCATTTGCCACATAGTTGCCCAATTAAACAGTGCATTGAGGTCGGCTTGTAAATTGGAGACATCCTGTAAGGACGTTATTCCACTGCACAGCTTGGTGTCATCTGCAAAGACTGAAATTTTATTTTTAATCCCAGACCCTATATTGTTTATTAATATATTAAAAAATAAGGGTCCGAATATTGAACCTTGGGGTACACCACTGACAACCCTAGACCATTCAGAGTATGAATCATTAACCACTACTCTTTGAATACGATCTCTTAGCCAGTTTTCTAACCATTTACATACGGATTTTTCCAAGCCCATAGACTTCACCTTACACATTAGCCGTGTGTGGGGAACTGTGTCAAATGCTTTTGCAAAATCCAAATATACCACGTCCACCACCACCCCTCTGTCCAAGGTCTTGCTCACCTCCTCATAAAAAGAAATCAGATTTGTTTGACAACTTCTGTCTTTCATGAATCCATGCTGTCTGTTGCTTAAAATATTTTTTTCCAGCAAGAACTCATCTATGTGGCCTTTTATCAAACTCTCCAGTATCTTCCCAACTATAGAAATTAAACTAACAGGTCTATAATTACTTGGTAAAGATTTCGACCCCTTTTTAAATATTGGCAGCACATTGGCCTTATGCCAATCCAATTGTACTATGCCAGTCATTAAAAGTCCCTAAAAATTAGAAACAATGGCTTTGAAATGACAGAGCTCAATTCTTATAGGACCCGTGGGTGTATGTCATCCGGTCCAGGTGCTTTATTCACCTTTATTCTGTCTAAATATTTTTGGGATCATATCAATTGTAATCCAATGTGGATCATCTGGAGCTGTGTCAATACCATGCCCATTATGGACAAGAGCTCCTCCATGCTCCTTTGTATAAAACAGAGCTGAAGAAGGTATTTAATAAATTTGCCTTCTCTTTGTCCCCAGTCACTCACTCTAGATTTTGTAAAGGGCCTACATGCTCGGACCGGACCTTTTTACTATTAATATATTTGAAGAATTTTAGGGGTTGATCCTGCTATCTTTTGCAATCTGTCATTCGTTTTCAATTTTTGCGGCCTTTATTTCCTTTTTGCATATACGGTTATATTCTTTGTAATGTTTAAACAATGATAGCGTTCCTTTATTTTTATTTAATAAAATCTCTTTTCTTATTATCTATAGCTTTTTTTTTAACTTTGGCTGTAAGCCACATAGGTTTGATTTTTTGCCTTTTAAAAAACTTGTTCACATACAGTCTTTTTAAAGAACTCCCATTTCTGTGTTGTGTTAATTGATGCCAATATTCCCTCCCAGCCTAAGTCTTGGAGAGGAGCTCTCAGCCTTGGAAAATTAGCTCTTAAAATTTAGCATTTTTATTTTTCCCGTATGTGCTTTCTGTTTACATTTAACAATAAATGAAATCATGTTATGGTCCCTGCTACCCAGATGTTCTTTTATATGGACATTCGTAATAAGCTCTGCATGGTTTGAGATTACCAGGTCCAGCAGAGCATCATTCCTAGTTGGGGCCTCTATGAACTGTACCATAAAAGTGTCCTGTAGTAGGTTTAAAAATGTTTGCCCTTTAACTGTTCCTGCAGTACCGTTACTCCAGTCAATTTCCAGATAATTAAAATCCCCCATTATTATCACTGTCCCAGCCCTTGCAGCCCTTTCGATCTGTGCAAGGAGCAGAGTTTCCACCTCCACATTAACACTGGGAGGCCTATAACAAACTTCAATGATTACATTTGTAGTGCGCACCCCCATGTGCAGTTCCACCCATAATACTTCAGCCTCATCACACTCTCCAACTAGGCCCTCTTTCACACTCGCTCTGAGATCATTTCTCACATAGAGACAAACAACACCACCTTTCCTATTTACCCGGTCTCTCTGAAAGAGCATAGCCAGGAATATTAATGGCCCAGTCATGTGAGGAATAAAGCCAAGATTCAGCAATACCAATTAAATCATAGTTCTCTTCATGCACCAAAGCTTCCAACTCACCTATTTTGCTTGGCAGACTTCTGACATTGGTGAACAAACACATTAATTCATTGACATCTTGTTCACACGTATTTTACATCCTTTTTATTTTCATACAAATGGTACCCATTCCACTGGTTCTTTGTAACATAGGAACCTTATCTGCCATAGGCTTCCCCCCCATCTTTCCCCATTCCACCCACCAATAAGTACTGACCCCTATCTGATCTGTCTACCCCATTATAATCAAATTCTCCTTCCCCCCTTGATCCTAGTTTAAATACTCCTCCAGCCTCCCCCATAAACCTTTTCCCCAGCACAGCAGACCCCCTTCCATTTTGGCGCAAACCATCTCTAGCATATAAGCTGCCCCCCAACGAAAAGTCAGCCCAGCGTGCTAGAAACCAAAATCCTTCCCTCTTACACCAGGTCTTTAGCCATGCATTGAGTTCTCAAATCTCCCCCTGCCCTTCCTGAGTTGCGCATAGCACAGGTAATATTTCAGAGAATATCACCTTGGAAGCCCTTCCTTTCAACTTGCAGCCTATTTAAATTGATTCTTAGGGAGCCTCCACCTTCCATGTATTCTGTCATTGGTTCCAACATGGACCAAGACAGCTGGGTTATGCCCAGCCCCTACCAGTAATTTATCAACCTGACCCACATGCCGAACATTGGCAAAAGGTAGACAGCAAACCAATCGGTTGAGGCGATCACTTTTTCTATCAGTCCTTCTGATTATAGAATCCCCTACTACCACCAGCTGTCGAGGCCTTACTGCACTGCCCTCACCACCCCTCCCAGATGGTCTGCCCTCCCGGCTGTTAGGGATAGCAGTGACATCCAGGGCTGCCACCCCTGAGCTTGCCACCTCCACATCTTCACCCAACTTGGCAAATCTGTTTGGGTGCAAAAACCCGAGGCCGGCCTTCCTTTTCTGTGAGCCCCTACCATTCCTTCTCGTTACAGTAACCCATATTCCTACCTGATAATCCTGATTAGCCCCTCCGCCCTCCACATCAATCCCATTAGCTACCTGCTCAAGCAGCAGAAGACCCTTTTCAAGGTTCTTGGTTCAGTCCAGTGTTGCAACTTGCTCCTCCAGATCTCTAACACGAGTTTCCAGAAGGGCAACCCACTCACATCTGTCACAGCGGTATCCATCCTGGAGCTGTTGCTGCATTGTTGCATACATGCGGCATACTGTGCACTGCACAAAACCTTTCACCCTGCTAGCACACATTATCCCAGTTACAATATTAATAGGAAATATCAGATGTCACGTACAGATTAGTAGACTCCTGTTATAATCTCCTGTTTTTCACTCTTTTTTTTTTAACTCCTTATCAAATGTCCACTTTGTCAAAAGGTCCGGCAAGCAAAATACAGGCAAGCTCAGAAAAAGCTCTACAGCAAGTTATATAGTACCTATATCACCTGTGAACAATTAACCCCTCCCCTTAATTAGCAGACTGAAAGAAAACAAGGAAAAGAAGAGAGAAAAAATGCTATTTAAGAAGTGCCAGAAAGTGATTTAAAAAAGTTAAAGCTTTTAGTAAGACCCAAAGAAGAAATAAAAACTACAGGCACCAGCAATCAAAAGTAAAACTTTTTCACTCTCCACTTAAATTTCCCACTCTTTTTAAATGTCAGCCAGCAAAAAATGGCAGACACTGTAAGACAGATTAGAAAGGTTTGAAAAAACATTTTGTTATTTCAAATT